GGCTGGCTGGCGGGGGGAGCCTCCGAGCTTCAGGGGAAACCTGAGCAGGACAAGAGGGATCCACATCCGAGGTGGTACCCATAGAACGTTCCATTACACCCCAGTTCTCAGCGTGATTACGGTGCTGGGAGGGCAGTGTCTTGGCTTGAGGGATCAAATGGCTCTTCCAGCAGCGAGGCACGGTTCGGTAGGAAAGACAACTGCGGATGGTGTTGATAGCTACTGCTAAATTGTTTTGAGAGGAGATAATATTCTAATATGTTGCAGAGCCATACGATGCTGTTTTTAATTCAGTGTTGTGTGAACTAGTGGATAAAGCAGTCTTGAGGTAACATTTAATGAAAGAGTAATAAGCAGTAAGCCCCCCGATTTCTCCGTGTAACAACTCTGCGTGGTCGATGGTGAAATGCTAACATAGTTTCTTCATGAAGAACTAAACCACGTGGAACATGGGAGAGCGTACAACTGCAAATTACGTTCAATTAAAGGGGTCAGGAATTTCCAAACGGAAAATACACTTCTAGGGCCCATCATCTGGTGTTTGTAGAAGAGCTGAACTCAAAGTTCAGCCAGAACTGACTGAACTCCACTAATCCAGGGCACCATTCTCTTCACCAGTAGATCAGAGTCCAGGACGAAGTGGCAAAGTGAAGCTTCCCTCATACCTTTTCTCTCACTTCCCTTTCTCCTTGATTTTATTAACTCCCCATTCAAGTAAGTGTTGGGTTGTTTGGTGTTTTTTTTTAAAAATAAACTCTGTCATTCTGTTCTATTAATTGTATCTTATTATATATACAGCTCATGTATAGACTAAATATCTGTAACATAATACATCTGTAGTATGCATAATACATGTATATGTGCATATATAATGCCTATATAAGAATACGTGAGGCTAAATCTTTAGTCATACGAGTCAACGTGCAAGTGTGTAGCCCCAGTGCTCCTTTTTTCAGCCCCATGGAGCCACACTAATACACTCCTTACTTCATTCCACTCCAGCTAGTCAATCTACTTGCTGGTGATGTCGCTGGTGTCATCTAACCGCAGAACCATAGCACCTGAACTCCCCTGCCCCTGCAGACACTAACCAAGAACCACTTCCTCTTTCTCATCAAATTCTTATCCCTTGACAACTTTTGTTCCCTCTCCCTGAAGGGATGTGTGAGCCAGAAGTTGAAAGTCTTACAGCGTACAGACCTCCCTCTCCTTCCCTCTGTCATAAATACATTGCTCTGCCTCCCTGCCATGGCCATGGAGGAAACAGAGATTGACCAACATTGTAAGAAATGAGTCACCTACAGGTCTCATTCTGCTTCTCTTTTATTTCATGACCATTTTTGTAATTCCTTTCACTTCCCAAATTTGAAGATATCTCCATTTACTAGGAATGGGAATTTATTCCTCTCTTCTGCAGTCTTTTCATACATCTGTACTTCAATAATAATGTTTCTTTGCAAAGTGATTCGCCCCAATTACCAGGCATGCTTTACGGTTAGAGGCAAGACGAATCCACGTTCTAATTGAGCCCTTCACTTGTTCAGCTGAAGGCATATTTTTTGAACTTCTGCCACCGTTTAGAGCAGGGCAGCAATCAACTGAGTGACAGATGCTCTCTATTAACCACCGCCCTCCCAACCAAAACCAGGAAAACTTCTTTAATTAATTGCTCTCCTACACTCTTCCGAAGCATGTAGCTTTAGCTTTTCTCTGCTCTTACAGCCTGTTCCTCCTAAACAGAGCAGCTCCCTGACAACATTTTCTCTTGTTTGTGCCTGTCCTACACTGGTGTAAATTCCACTGTATTAAACTTCTAGTCTTTCAAAAGGCAGTTTATGCATCGTCTACAAGACCATTTCCAGACTTGTAAAAGTTCTTCTGTATATCGGATGAAATGCAATTTTTCTTTAACCCATGTCTAAACTGCTAGTATTAAAAATGTTAAGTGCGCATCCTAAAATTTGGTGTCTTAACAGTCTTAAAATTCAGCTTTAAACACTATATTGAAACTGGCATCATAGGATTCAGTGTCTTTGTGTCTCCTCTCTACTTAATTTCACTAGTAAACTGAAGTGGAATTAGAGGGAAGGTCCACGCATAGATAAACAGCTAGGAAAAGAGAGAGAGGGGTAGAATTAATGTTTACAGTGAAGTCTAGAAAACATTTCTGCTTGTGCCTGTTTTGCTCAGCACACACACAAATGAAGTAGAAATGAAGACCAATAGTCAGGCAAAACACATTTTTAACAATATTCATCAGTCAGGGTAATTAAGATAACAGGTCATTATACTGGACTGCAGAAGATCTCAAGGTCAGTATACTTTCTGGCCAAGTAATGAATTTCAGCAGCCATTTCAGACAAACGTGAAATGATGCACACGAGCGAGTGGGAAAAGAGGGGGAATGATTATTTTTGGTTAACACAGAAAGTGATGGAGTTGGAGTAAATACATCTATGTAAATGTCAGTTTGATGCAGCAGCAGCCCAAAAGTGAGTCAGTTTGAAGAAAGGAAAAGAATAAAACAGAAAATACCGTTATCCTACACTATAAGCTATGGTGCATTCATGTTCCTGTTTCCCTCCCTTCCTCATCTCAAAAAGGATGAGGTAGACAGGGTACACTGAAGGACAGCAAGTCTGATCAATCATGTAAGGCAGTTCTGATCAAAGAACAAACAAACAGATGAGAATTTTTCAGTGGGAGAAAGAGAGAAATGGAGGGAAGAAAAAAGGAATGACTATGATAGGAGCATCCCATGATAGTGCCTAAAATAGAAATCTATAAAAACAGGAGCGGCTCAGGAAGCTCCTGAGGAGACAATTGCTAGCGATTGGGTAGGTTCAAATCAGGTGCCCAAAGGGGCATTTGAGACGTCCTCGGGGATCCCACCTGGCATTCAGCTACCACTCCAGAACAGCACAAGGCTCTTGCACGTCGAAGGCATGCGTTTGCCAGCCCCACGAGGACGTCTCAAGTATTCTGGGTCACTTGAAATAGCTCTAAAGGTCCGTGCTTAGGCAACAGAAGAGAAGCCACTTGGGAGGTAGCTAGCACTGCTGGCTGTTGTCGCAGGAGACGAGCTGCCAGTTCTGAGGTTAACCCATGTGTTAAAAAGCTGACGTGCGCACCAGCTAGCCCCAGAGGAGCTGCAGCACGCTGTGTAGTCACACCAATACCACCACTGTGGGCAGAGGCCACAACGACACAGCTTCGCTCTTTCTGGGACTGAGCTAGCTTACACATTTCTTTGCAATACTGCACCTCATAATGTAGACACAGCATAAAGCTAAATATTATTCCTACTAAACCCAAAGCTTCTAGTGTTTGTCTCAATGGAAACCTGATTTGAAGGTGGCATGGTTGCAGACACGACTGTATGTATGTAGAATTAAGATACTAGAAAAGAGAGAACCCAATCATGGGTTGAGTTTTTACAGTTAGCTGGTAGGTAAAAATTTCTCCCATGTTTTTAATACTAGTATATTTTGCATGGAAATCAAAGATACAAAAGCCACAGAACTTAAAAATGTCAATCATTTCTGAGAGAGAAGCTTTTTTAAAATTGCTTTTTGTTCTCAGTAAATCAAAGTAGCATAATATATCGCATTTGCTGTAATTCTGAAGAAAACTATGTGAAAAAGGTCTAGCAATAGTTAACTGCAATCTTCCCTTTTTTTCTCTTCTACAGTATTCTCACCAACCAAGAATTTTACATTCTGACGCTATCCAAAAAGTTGTAGCAAACACAGATGTTTCTGAAATGTGGGAGAACGATTTGCGCCCTATGCTGATAGAAAGATACTCGGGATCACCAGGAAATTATTTCGTACGACAGGTAAGATAACATTTCCTGAAAACCTCTAAGAACATCTATTATTTATATTCTGCTAGTGCTGTTAGTGACCACTAAACGGTCAGACACTTTCCTTTCATTCGGTGGGATGAACTCCATCATTGTTCAAGTCTAGACTGCACAGAGCCCACATGACAGAGCTTGCAGTTCAGCTGACATTATTTCCCACAGCTGCATAGCATGATGAAAAAAAAAATCTGTTTTTAAATTTAATATTTTAGATTTAAAATCTTGCCGCAGGTTTGGTACCCAAAGTACAACACAACCGTTGTCCTTGCCCTCACATGACTGGGTTTTTGGTCCCTTGTTCAAACCCCCCCGGGACCATCCACGGGGATGAAATAAATGACACCCCCTCGCCCTTTTTCTGGAGACGTCCTGTGCTGTTACACTCCCCTGTAGTGTTGCTTCAGATGGGTGTATCAACACAGAAATGGATCCGAGGGGCCCAAACAGGTAGGCAGATGAAATGGCCAACGTGATCAAGTGCAGCACTGGCCCGAGTGCCACACTAGCTCCGCTGGCCCCAGCGCAGCAGTGTGTTAATGCTGGGCTAACATACCCGGACTGCACCTGGCCCCAAGCCAGTAAAAGCTCCAACACATTGTATGTGAGTTTCCACGCGACTGGGTTGCTGCCCTGTCAGCATCTCTGCCCTGCGCTCACGGCCTGAGCATCTCCCGGACTGCATGCCACGCCGGCTCCGCGTTACGTTAGCCAAGCGGGAGACAAAAGCTGTGGTACAGCTGAGTTTGCTAGAAGACATTCATAACACCTCATTAGCTTTCATCTACGCTTTGTGCAGTGACTCAATAGCTCCATGATAGCCCTAACTACAGTAAGTTTATCTGCCACTCTGCAATTGGGAAACTGGAAAAATGCATCTTTTTTACTCTTTGTGTGTGTGTGCACGCATGCATGTCTCTATAGATTTAGTTTTGTGGTTTCTTTAGTGATACCCCGGAAGGCAGCCAAATGAAAGGGGAAAAAGCAAGAAAAACAAAAAACCAGCTGAGCCTAGGCTAGAAAACCACAAATCATGTTCAAAATAGGATCATCCTGTTACAAGGTAACAGCATGTACTATAGCAGACCCCCACCAAAGGAAAAAAAGAAGAGTCTTCCATTGTCAAAGCACAATGGAGTTTGAAATGGATGACATTTCTTTGTTAAGACACAGAAAAAGCATCAGACTCCTTTAAGGGAGAAGGCTAGTGCCAATCACAGCTAGTGCACGCTGGGAACTCCATCCAGGCTTATATGTTCCCCTTAATCCATAACAGACGTCTTTGCTCTGCTTGCAGATAGCAGATAGGCCATACAACACTGTAAAAGCTTTCAGAGGGTGACCACAAACAAAATGGAAGTTTGTTCTAGCACTAAAATTTATGGCAATATTCCCACTGACTTCACTAAGAGCAGGACAGGTCTTCAAAGTCTATTTTATTTTTTCCCCTTAGAGGCTTTTCCTAAAGTTTATTTAGAGAGAGAGGAATCTGCCTTCAAGAAGCACTCTAGGGACCCATAAAAATAAGTTGCTCAATAGAGATTGCTCTCTAGTAAGGGTTAGCCAGAACTCTGTACTAAGCATAACTGGGATTGTTAGAGATACTTTCTTTACGTAGGAAGATACCTAAAATGAATTATCTCTTTTATAGACTCACTGTCTTAATTTTTATCTTTACATGAGCTACACTTTCAGAATTTCATTTTTAAAACATTGTTCTGAAATGTTTTTCTCTAATTCACAGGAATCAGACTGTCTCATAGCCTTGTAAACAACTTATGTCACTTGAAAGGCAGATTTCTCATAGAAGCTAAAAAAACTAAAAAAACCCACCAAACCCAACACCACACCAAACAACCCAACAAAAAAACTCAGCATTTTTTTTATATTGCTGTGGCATCTATGTGTGGTAATGGTCAAAATAGCCACATCAAGTTCTCTGCAGCCACTTCTGATACTTAATTTAAGGGCAGAAATGAATTTAGATTTGAAGAGGTAAACATTAAATCTGTCCTGGTTACACCTGAAAAAACACGGGCCTGGAAACTGCAGAGATCAAGATCTTAACGTGTCTTATTAATGGGCAATCATTCGAAGCACCTTCAGACAAAAGGGAGAAATGAAAAGCAAGTGAGCCAACCGAAGGGTAAGGTAGCAATGATGTTGCTTATTTTATATAGTGACATTACATCTTTTGCTATATAATTTATCTTTTAAAAATACCACAAACTTATAGAAAGAAGCTTAAGTGCCATTATTAAATTAGCTAATGTCAATTTGCCTGCAACATCTTTCTGAAGCAAGCAATATTAATCTGATTTTTTTTTTTAATTGCAGCATATCAAGCACCGTCTTCAAAGATTACAGGCTGGTTGGGAAATTGAAGAGGATACATTTCAGAGATATACACCATATGGATATCAAACATTTTCAAATATTATCAGCACTCTCAACCCCTCTGCAAAACGCCATCTAGTACTTGCTTGCCACTATGACTCAAAATTCTTTGGGCAACAATGGCAGGAGAGAGTGTTTGTAGGAGCAACGGATTCAGCCGTGCCTTGCGCTATGATATTGGAGCTGGCACGTGCCCTGGATGACAAGCTTCAGTTAATCAAGGTAGTTTGCTCGTTTTGCTTTTATTTGGTATTGCAACAGCAGTAGGCCTTTGGACACTGCCATGTTCTCTCCCGTAGCCTGTGTGCCTGATTGTCTGATTGCTGTGCTTGGAGTAAAACTCCCGCTGACTTCAAGAACAGAACAGAGATCTGTATCTACTACTTCAGAGTACATTAGCACATTAAAATTTCTTGTGCAAAGGGTGGCTATCTGAAAAGTATCTAATAAATACATACTATGTAAAAATAATTTATAAGTGAATAATACACATTTCACAGACTCGGTAAGATAGAATCTTACTTTCTTTCTAAAAGGCACAGAACCCTACTCAGAAGCTCCTAGTGTATCCAGTAACATTGAGGGTCATTGACAAACTTTTGTTACTTTCTGAATCTTGCATTTTTAAAATCTCTCACTTGTATTCTGTTTTGAGAGACGGATGAACTAATTGCTGTCCAGGAGAGTTATACTCATGTCCCTCCATCCCATAACAGTTTCAAGCTTTTCTTACTGTTTTCTTTTATGAATTTGAATAGTTTATTTATTAAATGAGTTATGGCTGAGTACAGGAAAACAGTCAAGTAATAGTACAATATTATCCGTCTGTGTTACCTGTGCTATGAAAGTCTGCTTCAAAGTTCTGCCATTGCTAGGCACAAAAATCGATCCTACAAACTCTAAAAATTTGTAGGATTACAGATTCATGAGTGCCATCTACTGGTTCAGTATTTGCTATTTACAGAATAATACTTTTCACTCACTAACAGAGCTTTCACAGAAGGTCTCTCAAACGCTTCACAAAGTGTTGGGAATACACTCAGCTCAGGTATTAAGATTACTTGTTGGCAATTGTTTCCAGAAACTGATTTGGTGCTTTCTGATGTCAGGATATTTAAGCATTAGAAGATTAAGCATATGACAATGTTCTTAATTACAAAACAAAGCACTCCTGTAATACATATGCTTTCATTTATAAGCTTAATTTAGAATAAGTTTGCCTGATGGTTATTTATGGAACAACCTGCACACCAACTTAAAGACTGGAATTTTTCACAAGTAATACATCATTTTTTGATTAAATTGTTTTCTCATGTAAGATGACAGCATTTGACAAAAAGGCAATCTGATTACTTTCTACAGGCTACCATTTGTACAGTCTGTTAACAAAATATACTTTGGGATCCATCTGCTTAATGCATTAGCTATGACCTTTTTGCTCTGCTCATAGTGGCATAACAGACTTTGTTATGTTTTCAGCCAAATCTATTTATACTTTGACTTGAAGCTGTGATTTTTATCTTGATGTTTCTCCAGTTATATCGAGTAAGTTTAAAATTAAAGGGTAAAGATAGCTCTCTACATTATTCAGACGTGGGAATGTGTTAAACGGTAATAATTCTTACAAATACTACTTTCTAAAATTCAAATGGCATTAATACAGTTTCCTGCAGAATGTAATGCAAAGTGACTGCTGTCAAAAGAGCTCTGTCCTATGCAAAGGACAAAGGACAGCAAAGCATTGCCATTAGAGAAATCCATATATCAATGTGAGCATAATCAATATCATCTTGCCTGCGCGAGCGACATTTTATAGAGGTTTTCCACTACTGTTTGTATTGGATCATCTCCAGCTAGTCGGGAATTGTAACCCCTACAGGACATGACTGTTGCCAGTGACTCCACCTTTTTAACCACAGCATGCAATTTCCCTTGAAGTAGCATTAATTCACAGAGGAGTTAAAATATTTATAGCAACTGCCAAGACTACAGTTCCCAAAACCGTCCATATAGCGGAACCAAACTGTGTTTAGCCATGTTGTAGATTATTAGGAAATACTGCCAGTGCAAACAAGGCTTCAGTTAGTAAACAGAGAGAGAAAAAAGGCTCCTTCTACATGGGGAAGAAATTTCACTCAGATATCTCCTTCATGATCTTAAATACATTAATTATATATTTCTCAGTTTTTACTGCTGTGATATTTTTGGTTGTTGAAAGGGAAGGACGTATCTACTCCACTCCTTCTGTGCTTTGGTTTTTGGGTTTTCCCTGAAGGAAAAGAAATGGTCATTCCTCTCATGACTGACTGCTCTTTGTCCCTCAGAGAACCAGCAACTTTGCAAATACATAATTCGCCCCCACTGATGCACAACTGTAGCAGAGATATTGGTCCTTTGTGGCACTATCAAGCAATAATATTAGCACCCATGTCAGGTGTTGCTGCTGACAAGTCTCCTCATTATTTCAGATGACGTTTCTGCTACCTGGTTTTGCAGACCTGTCTCAACATACTGAGCTCCTGTCTGCTGAGGTCAGAAATTAAACTTTTAACCAGAACCAAAATTATACCAGATTGGAGACTATGTCACTGTGCTAGTTAAATAATAATGACTGATCACTACCACTATTACACCGTAACGTGTGCTTAACAGCCTGTCCTGGTTTCAGCTGGGATAGAGTTAATTTTCCTCTCTGTAGCTGCTGTGTTTTGGATTTAGTAGAATGTTGGTAACACTGATGTTTTCAGTTTTTGATAGGAAATCAAGGACTTCTTCCAGTTTCTCATGTTCAGCTAACGAGCGGGTGTGCAGGAGCTGGGAGGGAGCACAGCCAGGCAGCGAGCCCAAGCTGGCCCGTGGAAATACTCCATACCATGGACATCGTGCTCACTTTATGAATGTGGGTTGGCCGGGGGGCACGACTCACTCTTTTCTGTGAGTTCAAGTCCTGTTTTGTCCAGGAGTTTGAACTTTTTTGGGAATGTAGCAAAATTCATGATTTCTGGGTTCCATGATCACTGCTCAGGGACTGACTGAATTGGTCATTTGGTGGTGAGAAAATTGTATTGTATATAGCTTGGTTTGCATATTCGTTATGATCAGTATTGTTATCAGTATTAGTAGTAGCATTCATATTTCCTTTGTTGCCTTACGAAAGTGTCTTCATCTCAACCCATGAGTTCCCCTTTTGTCCGTTTCTCCTCTCCACCCCACTGGGGGGGAGGGGAGGGGTGAGCGAGCAGCTGGGTCGTGCGTAGTTGCCAGCTGCTGTGTTAAACTACAACAGTCCTTTTTGGCACCCAACGTGGGGCTCAAAGGGTTGAGACAATGGCAGGTCTGACCAGAGCATGTTAAAACGAACCAGTGATACCATTATGTTGGTTCGGTTGTTGCTGGCCACAACGTGGGTCTCAGAACTGGTGTCAGAGTTGTATCGTGTAACAACCGACTTGCCGCATGTGCTGTTTATTGGTGCTCACGCGCAGTCTGTCACCTCTGGTCACTGGATTAAGGTTATTGCTTTGCTGTGGTGTGTAGCACAGATTTACTGTTCGATGAAGTCATCGGTTGTGGGACCGATTCTTTATCTGTGTTCAGTGGCAGCAGGCAGCATGCAGGGCGCGACGATAGTGGCACCTCTGTCTCTGCACTTTGGTAGCCATCTAGCAGGAATTATTAACAGTTACACTCACTTTTTCTCTTTGAAGAGCCAGGCTATGGGGAATACATCTTCCTTCATCTTCCCCTTTTCCACCAGGCTAACTGCAACAGCTTTTGAGAAGTTTGAATAACATAACCTTGGGGTGTTCAAAACAGTATGTTCCTGTTGCTAGGTCTCCTGCATGGGTGTCACATCTCTCTTGGGGTTAAAAAACTGTTTCAGAATACTGTGACAGTCACTGTACCTATGCAAACCTCTGTGACAGCAGTTACTGCAGCTACTCAAACCCTGGCGACGACAGGTATTGCGGTTACTCTGACCCTCACGAGAGTTGCTGCAGCTACTCAAACTTCTGTGACAGGAGTCACTGCAGCTACTCAAACCGTGGCAACTGGCATTGCATCTGAGCCAGAGAACCAACCCATGCCAGTATCAGTTGCCTGTGTACAGAAGAAGAAATTAAAAAAACATTAAAATCAGAACATAAGGGTGAAGATGAACCAGGGTCAACAGGAGCACAGGAGGAAAAACCAGAAGTAACAACCCGATCCTTGTCTCTGGGTGAGCTGCAAGATATACAGAAAGATTTCAGCTGTCATCAAGGTGAGAACATTGCCACCTGGCTGCTAGGAGAACGGGGCCAGTAGCTTGGAATTAGAGGGCAGGGAAGCCAGCAGCTGGGATCCCTGTCTAGGGAAGGGGGCATTGACAAGGTGATTGGAAGAGGAACACAAGTCCCCAGCCTTTGGAGGTGACTTCTGTCAGCCATGAAGAACAGGTATCCCTTCAAGGAAGATATTATATGCCACCCAGGCAAGTGGACCACCATGGAGAGAGGTATCCAGTACCTGAGAGAATTAGCTGTGCGTGAGCAGATTTATTATGACCTGGACAACCCGCAGTCACCCACAGACCCAGATGAAGTCCAGTGCGTACGAACTGTGGGGCAGAAGTTTGTACAGAGCACACCATCATCGTATGCCAACTCATTGGCAGCAACGGGCTGGAAAGAAGAAGAGGCACCAACAGTGAATGAAGTGGCTGGCCAACTCCAGCAGTACAAAGACAATCCCTCTTGCCTATGCACCCACGTCTCAGCTGTGGAAAGGCTGTCTGAAAAATCCGAAAACTTGTTTGAAAAACTGTTGGAAAAATTGGATAGGTCCTACTCCCCACCCATACAGACCAGTCTCAGCTATTAGGAGAAAGCGTCCCCCTGCTCAAGAGGGATGGTACATACCCTGAGGCACCCTGTAGTTTTACCTGCTTGACCAGAGAGAGGACATGAGGAGGTGGGATGGAAAACCCACCCTGGCACTGAAGGCAAGAGTATGTGAGTTGCAAGGAAAAACAATCACAAACGAGGATCCTCCTAGGAAAATTGCTGCTCCAGTTTACAGTGGGCAGTTCCCCAGACAAAGCAGGTGGCTTGATTTTACTTCAGATCCTAGGGGAGGAACTTCTGATTGGTTTTTACAAGGTGTGAGGTCCAAGGATGGGGTAACCCACGTATGCAACAGGAAGGTTTGTATAGAGTACCTTGAAAATATATGCCTGCTGATGTTACTTATGTGACTACAGTGTTTGTCCTTTATTTAATGTTCTGGCCAGAATCAGTTATGTTACTTTTAACTTCCTCCAACAGACCAGCTCAACATCAAGACCAGACCTTTCACTTCAGCTCATCTTTTTTGATGGTGAAGAAGCCTTTGTCCGGTGGTCCCCTTCTGATTCCCTCTATGGATCTCAACACTTAGCTCAAAAAATGGTATCTACTCCACATCCACCTGGTTCAACAACCACAAATCAGCTGCAGGGCATAGTAAGTGGCTTTCACCTCCGTAATGAGTAATAGTAAATTGCTTTTTTTTTAATATATTTAATTAGTAAATAATTGGCCAAATTCACAAGAAACCATGAAACCCACCAAAGTTAAAGAAGCAGGCTTGTGGAAAGTTTATGAGATGTGATTAATAAAACGAGTTGGCAAGAGCTTTTCAGGTGAATCTGCTTAGACCTTCTCCATGCAAGTATGAGGAGAAGTCCTAGAAAAATCAAAATACAGAAATTAAACAGGGATACTCACCTTCTTCAGGAGAGAAAGTGATTAGGAAAGAGCACAGAGACAGTATCGGTCTATGAACATATCTCCCTTAGCTCAGCGCTAAGCAACAGCAATGTTTCCCCTTGATTCCTACCAACATTCTGGTTGTCTGCTCTCTCCCTACTGCCTTCTGGTTTCCCCACTCACTGATGAGACACTGTTCTTCTGTCACTGTATCTTCTGACTCACAAAATGTCTTTCCCTTGACACACTTTGTTGTTCTCCAGGGAAGAAGCAATTTCCTCTTCTTTCTCCCCACCCACCGTAGTTTTTCTTTTAAAGGGCTACAGCGCACAGAGTGCAAAGCGATGCAGTCTGCTTCAGCTTGAGGAACAGAGAAACGGCCTTCATTTTTCCTCCTCAGAAAGACAGCACAGTGCAGCAGATTGGCACTGGGTTCTGCTAATGAGCTCTACTTGGGCACCGTGGTAGAAAAGCCAGATCTTTGGCCAGAGCTATCAAAGACCTAGTCATGACCTATACAGGAACCAAGATATTTCATTGCTGCTGCTGCTGGTGTTGTAGTAAAGAACTCTAGGTTAGATTCTTTCTTCCGTAGGACCTGCTTGTACTACTGGATTTAATTGGTGCACCAAACCCAGTCTTTCCCAGTTATTTCCCAAACACTGTTCGATGGTTTCAGAGGCTTCAAGCAATTGGTAAGGAGAGGGGTATGGGTTTTCGATTAATCTGAAAATTCAGTGTGTAGTTCCTGAATGTATTGTCCTGTAAATTGGATTTTTAGATTACTTTTCTGTTTTACAGTTATAATATTTAATAATGTAAATGTTAAATTTGGTGCATCTTAAACCTATATGACAATTTTAATATTTAATTAATAAAATAACTGAGGAAGATTCCCAGACATGTGGAAGCCATGAAACAGATTCTATTACTGACTGTCACTCTGCGACTCTTGGGAACTGCTTCACTTCAGTGTTTTAATTCTCACTTCTGTAAAATGGCAGTAATAGCACCAATCTTGAGGTATTCAGAGTACTAAGCAAATGCAAAAGACAGTCACCAACTCCTTTTTCTTCTTTGATGGAAAAAGCTTCCGTGTGAGAGGAAAAATAATTCAAGTGTGCTAACATGCCTCATGTTGTCCAAAAGCTGTAATAATGACTTTCATTGTGAATTACAGAGCAAGAGCTCCACAACATGAATCTGCTGAAGAATCACCTTGTTGAAAGGCAGTATTTCCAGAGTACTTCACATCGAGGCCTGGTTGAAGATGACCACATTCCATTTTTATTAAGAGGTACCAGAAGCTCTTCTGTTTTAAAGTATAAGTTCAGTAACAAATGCACCATTTAGTGAATTAGCAAGTGCATATGTTCCTGCTTTTCCACCTTATTTGCCCCAGCTGGAGGCTTCCAAATCCAGCTTTACGCAGGCCAAGTCACAGCTTTGAAAAGTGTCTCCAAACAAAAGCAGCGATAAAACAGCTCCATCATCCTTTTGCACAAGCACAGCTCCGATGGCACAGGGATAATGGAAATTTCTGTCAGCAGTAGCATCCTGCAAAGACAAGCAACTCTGATCCAGTGGGATATCACTACATACCACACTAGCCAGCTAGTTACTACTTCGAGTAGCAGTGAAACACTCAAGAGTCATATCTTAAAGACTATAAAAACCTCTGAAGAACTGTTGTCAAAGTTAGAATAATGCTCACTATTACCTGTATTAAATTTGAAGGCTCTGACTCCTGCAAAACCTCACATACTCAAATTAGACATCCCCATCCCCTGAAGAGAATGGAGATTTCACAGCTGTCAGCCTGAGGGGTGGGCAAGGTGCACAGAGTAGCCAGCAGAAATAGCAAAGGACACAATATGCCTGAAATCTCTCCTGGAATTAGGCACACCCCTGAAACTGGGATTTGCTACCTAAGCATCTCTCCTGGCAGACACCCATGCCATAGCCTCTGACATTGTGTTCATTCTTTTCCTTTGGGATGCAATCAGAGAAAGGGAAAGCAGTTGTACTACTGCTACCACCTTGTCAAGCTACAGGTCAGCGATTAAGTCCAAGCTCAAGATGCGGATTTGATGTCCTTCTCAGTTCAGACACTCAGCAGAGCATCCACAAAACTAAGGTGGGCCAAATAAGGGTAGGAGATACAGTAGAATCCTCTGATTGAGGTGTTCCACCGTACGGCCAGGACTACAAGAGTCATAGTGCTAGAGAAGGGTGAACTAAAAAGGAATGTAACGCCAGTTCAATGAAGAGGGCCTCCACCTAGGCAAGGAGGGAGCTATCTTCATGTCCAGCCCCTAATTTTACCATTGCTTGTGCTCTGTTAACTACCGAGTAATGTGAAACACGCACACAGCTCTGGAAGCAGGCACAAGAGCCACTACACCTCTCTGCTTCTAAGTGAGTGCTCTCTCCACTGAGCTACGATCATGGTCTCTTGCTCAGTGGCTCTTCACCTCCACAAATCTTTCATTTTCCACACCAAGACATGGCCCAGGTCCAGTGAAACGAACACAGCCATCGTATGCATGTTCAGGGATATCAAAAATCCCACATGGGAGAAGCTGATGGGGGAAAACAATGACTACACCTCAAAACCTTTTCTAATAACGCGATTAACACGTAGCAAAGAAAACACATTCCTTAGTGGTATGCAGCTGAAGAATGAGAGGAAAAGCAGTAGAATAGGAAAAACTGGATGGAAAGAAACAATGCTCCCCAAAAAAAGTGATCAGGATGCAGAAAACTGATTTAACTCCTGTTTCACCTAAAAGTTGCACTATGTATAGGTGGCCTGATGTATGTAGACATGCAGTGATACAGATCCTTTCAAGTGGAAGTTCTTTTGTCTGAGGATAACAGTGGTTCTATTTGATAGAGTAAAAATACAGACAGCCTATTTTACCATTTATGGAGAGAACTAAAAAAAATGCTTCAAAAAGTGCTTGATCTTAACACTGTCACAAGAACACGGTAATCAGTTTTCAGTCTGGGGAGCTGCAGTGGTTTCTCTGTTCTTCTGTAGCTCCTAAACACAGTATCAACAACTACAATGGAAAGGATCTCAAAAGTACAAAAAGCAAGTATCACAGTAAAACTACTAGCTACAGGTGCCTTCATTAAAAAAAAAAAGCGGGAAAAGTACTCAAAGGGAAGGAAGGTGCCAATTTTAGGAAACAATGAAATGGATGGGCTGCAGCCACAGGCTTCAGAAAAGAGACAGTAAAAGGCAGCTGCAGTGACACACACTCTTCTGTGAAGTAAGCTTATGCAGTAGTTACCTGACTCTGTATTAACTGGCTTAACAGAATTTCTCCAGTATTTCTTCTCCAAATCTCACTTTCCTCCTTACAGGGGTTCCAGTCCTACATCTGATTCCATCCCCTTTTCCTGCAGTGTGGCATACCATGGAGGACACAGAAGAAAACCTTGACAAAACCACTATTGACAATCTCAGCAAAATCCTGCAAGTGTTTGTACTGGAATATCTAAACCTGTGACAGACAAAATGGCAACAGATCATACTCCATTTTAAATGCTGTTTGCCCACCTTTACATTTGCTATTTAATTGCATTGGAGAGTGCTAAAGTGTTAATGACAGCTCTTGCTAGACTGATTATTGATTCAGCTGTTCCTGGCCCAACGTTCCATGTAGCCAAATAAGACAACATTAAATAAGAATTAGTTTCAGCCTGGAAAGAATTGTATCTTTCCATGTCTTACCTCTGAATAAAACACCACGGAATTTTTCCCGATTGTTATTACTGTTTCATGTCACGTATTCAGATCCCAGGAGGGAACGCCTCTCGACTGACTTTGAGCTGAACTAAACTGCCTCATCCTGAAATGAGTTGCTAGAACTCCTGACACACAGAAGGGTTTTTTAACCCTCTCTGCTCCCTCTCCTCCTTCCCCTACAAGGAGAGCTGCAAGGGCTCTTGTCCACAGACAGCAGGCCACCAGGAAACAGAGGAACTACCCGAGTTCAGTTTTCTCCCTGTTGTTTGCTGGGTACTTTTTGATGGAGAGGGGTGGTGCGGAGTGACGCTAAGAGGGAGGCACGTGGGGTATCGTGCTTTGACTGCAACACAGAAGATATGAACAGAAGAATAGGTGGTGTGTGGGAGCAACGCCCCAGCACTCACCATTTATTCATGTGAGAACCATTCACAATTTGACCAAAATAATGAAAAAAACCCAACCTGCTGTTTTTAATATAGATTACATCAGAAGTAACCATACTAGGAAAGTGATCACTTTAGAAATATAACTTTAAAGGCAAAGTGCTATCTATCAAAAGTAAAATGAGAGTCAGAAGCAAGAAGACAGTTTAAGCACAAAAGCAGTGCTTTGACAGTCTTCACTGGAATTATTCAATAAATTTAGTATTACACTCTAGCAAAATCTGGAGTGAAATCAGTAGGAGAAGCCAGAAGAACAGTATTCAAAAGCTACCTACAGAGTTATGGTTTCCACTGGTGAGAAAAAGATGAGAGCATTTGAAGAAAATAAAAATAAATAAAATCAAGCTGGTAGAGGATGAACTGAGAAAAAACAAGTCACTATTTTACTGCTCCAAACTTCTTCCATTAGAAAGTTCTATGCTGGGCAAAAAGATTTGAAAAGGAAATAAGCTATGGAGTTGTAGACATGTCAGATTTGGCCTGTAGTTTACCATTTTCCTAAAGCAAACATGTCTGAACCTAAGACAATGTTTACATTCATATTTTGAAGTTGCAGTAGAAATATGTATTTACAGCAACGCAAATTTGTAAGATTTTACTACTACAGGACAGCCTGAAAATAAAAGTCAGTCTGTTTTTTTTTGCTCAAGATTAAACAAAAGGATTTTATGTTTTCCCATCACTTTAATGTTTGTGAGAAATATTTTGCATGCAACTTCTGAAATAGAACACAATGAAAATTCTAAAAAGTGGACAGATGTGTTTATTTTCAGATATTACTGTATATCTATGTAACTACATCAAAGCTATTTGAACTCTCTGCTATCATATTTTCCTCTACTACGGCCCATGAGACATGCTAAACTACTAAATTACATCTTCTGAAGTTTGAATACTCTGAGCAACATCAGGCACCTACTGCACCCTTCTAATTGGTGAAAAAAAGGTAACAAAATGGCTATATACAAAATACTAAACATGAGTGTGTGGCTAATTCTGTTTTTACAGGTGAACTCTGGCAGCACTTCGTACTTTGCAGGGCCTCTGAGAAATGCAGTACACATTTGCACTGTGTGCTGCTACTCTGCTTCTTCAAGAATTTGAAAGTTAACTTAAAATAGGCTTCATTATGAAATGTGGGATCAGAGGGTTGTTATACCTGGGAAAAGCCTAATTTTTAAAAAATCTGCTAGAGCTAGTTGAAACCATAGTTTAACCATATAGCACATGAAATCTCTGGCATGTCAACTCTGTCACCAACTTCTCACTTCCTGAGCATGCAGTTCTCTTATGTTGACTCAGCTCAAATAAATGAGACACAGGCTGGTGTAATATGATTCAATGGCTCTCAAAACGTGACTAAAGGGCCATCTCTTAACTGGACGTGAGCCCTGGAAAGGGTTTACTTAAGAGAGGGGAGGGTCATTATTTCAGCAATTTATATGATCCATCATTCATTTAAAAAATAACTGGTCGAGGGAGAACCTGCATCAGCCCAGTAGCCATGTGAGTCCAAGAAGCTCAGCTCCCCAAAGCACAAGAACCTGAAGCAGTCAGTAAAGCAAAGACATGGTGCAAGGGGGGTTCTCACTACTGCTAAGGCAGAGGAGAACAAGTAGGTAGGAAAATGTCTAGCTATTTGATAAAATACCCAGAAATCAAAAAATACAAGTGAAAAGACCAGGACTGGCATCTCTTCCACTCTCAGTTTCAACAGTGCCAATCATTAAGTATCCCAGTCTGTAGGATCTGGATACACACAGCATCAATAGTCACTTCAGAATTCAGAGACAGGCTTCATGCTGCAGAACTTGCCCTGGACAGCGTCTCTGTCCCTGTTGGGTGGTGGCAGCAGGGGACAGAAATCAACTGAGGGACTTTCAACTAATCTAGTATCTACACAAATCAGCAGAATTGCTGCACAGGTTCTCCGCTTGAATAGGATTTGTCACATCTCAGTCAGGATTGGGGGGGGCGGGAATCAGTCTGCCACCCACGAGAGGTTGTCACTGGCTTGTCAGAGCCCTCCCAAAGGTGCGTGTGGTTATTACCTGGGTGAAGGGAATGCAGAACAGCATGAACTCAAGAGCCATTACTCAATAGGTAAAGCTGCAAAAAAGCCTCATATTACACTAGTTATTTGTATTGTAGAAGGCGCTGTAACTCCTTTCATATTGGGACAATGCAGTTTTTGACAAGAACCTTAAGCCTAAGTAATGGTACATGCCCCTCAAAGCCCCCAAAGCTTGCTGCACTTACCTACAAGCGCAGTGATCCTATGCAATCACAGCTGGAACAAGTTAAGGGAGTAACAACACCAAATCCTCCAACAGACAGAAATGACAGTGAGTACCAGGCCTCTTTTTTTCTCTAGCTGGAGCAGCATTCCTATCACTAGGAATGAAGATGATATAAATTAGCAATTCTTACTCACCACATTTCAAGTAAACATTTAGATTGTGACCACCTAACAGCAAAATACAATTAGGAAAGACAAAATGCAGTAAAAATGTTTTCTGTAGGATTATTACGAGGACACAGTCTACATTGGCAGCAGACCCAGCAAAACAGTTCTGAAGTTTCACACATCTGTTCATTGAGATCGAAATATTACCCGAAAGCATCACTTAATCAATATATATAAAAAGATAACTATAAAATCTTGCACACAAATTACCACTTTTTCCTTGTCATTTAAGGATGACACTGATTTTATTTTCCTTGTATAAAAGGAGACATTTTACTCTGTGCTGATTTAACAAATATTCTTAATATATTCATAACAATAAAGCAGCTAAAAAGCTGTTCTGATCTCTAGAAGAATCTTTATCATCTGCACATATGATATATATTGTAAACAATCACTCCCAAAAATAATTCTGTTAAAGTGATTATATTGCACTCAGAACTCTGGGATTCTCATTCTCCCTTCTCACTTTAAATCAAAGATCAGCTTCATTTTTTAAAAAAATGGAGCTTTAATTTTCTGCTAAAAACAAGCAGGCATGCAGTCAGTATAATACAATGTATTTAAAATGTCAGAAAGAGGGCAAGTGTTCGGTTATGGAACTGGAGTAAGGAACAATCCTCAAACAGGCCACACGAGAGTAGTACATTGTAAACATTCTGCTGGCTCTAAGGTGTCGCAGGTGCTGTAGAGAGTGCAGTCCAGTCCAGCACCCAAGAGGTACAGAGAATCTGTTCAAGTCTTCTGTACTTCAGTGAATTCCCATGCAGCGATGGCACGTGTAATAGACTACAGAGTAATGAAACAAAGGTGATTACTGAGCTAACGCTGACCTCATCAGAACAGCCAATCGTTAGAAGTTCCTTGTAATCTTTAAATGCAAGTTTTCCAGATCATTACATTTTCTATCACAGCAACGAAACCGTTACTCTTGCTGCCAGTGAAGTACAGAACCAGATTCCCTACTTGCAGCTTTCACGGACTGTGTACCAGTGGCAGTCTGGACACTACCCTTGGCCTAAAGCATCCTGGCAAGATGCCATCATGCAGAACATCACCTTGCTTTGCTTGCAAGAGCAATGCCCTCCTCCATGCGTCAGAGCGAGAAACACAGGTAGTGGGAGAGAAAAAAAAAAAAAAAAAAAGAAAAAGAGTACAGTGTGAAGAGGCCACAGATCTTGAAAATTCAAATGCAGGCTGTTTTTTCTCAACTCAGTTCTACAAGAGAAAGATTGCTCTGTTGAACCCATTATCTTCAGGTAACACTTGTATCTTTGGAGTCCCTGAGATACTACAGCTCCATATAACCAGCTCGGACAAATGGAGGGACTGACTTAGTATACAAATCAACACGGTGGAAGCCAATATAGCACCCTGAGTTGCAAATGAAACAACAGGAACGGGCAACCCATTCCTCAACAGCCAAGAGATGCAGAAGAAAAGTGCAGAGGAGGTATTGGCTAGGGAATCATAAGGTACATATTGCACAGGAGAACAGAAAAAAATTGAAGTATTTCTAAAAGGCCTTTCCCTCTTACCAGAGCAGTGAAGAAAAAGACAGCAGTCAGAGATAAGAGCTCTCTGAGAAAGGCCCTGAAGAAATAACGGCCTTCAAGATGTACAGTAGAACAATAATGCAAAAGCAGAGACAAGATAGGCAGTCTTGTTCCAAGTGTGCCCCAAAGGTTAAGCACTCTAGCAACAACTTTAAGAACTGTCAGTGATCACTGACCTGTGCTCTGGACATAAACCAGGAATATAAATAGATATTTTTTCCCCTGAAACTACAGAAAAAATACAAAGAGAAAAAATACAAAGTCACAATCAAGTCAGAGAATACTTTTCATAGTCAAAAATTAAATACTGGCTTCAGACACATCTGCTCTGTATCTTAAATAGGGCTAATCGTAAAAAAGAGGTGCTTGTAAAATCTTAAGTTTGAAATATTTTATTTCCCCTTATATTGCTAAACAATTTTGCAGTTAAACCGAAAAGGAAGAAATATCAGAGATGAATACGGAATACTTACAACTGGGAAATGGTTGCTGAACCATTTGAATTTCTATAAAAGTATCAATAAAAATGTAAAAACATTGTCTCACAAAATTAATTAGAATCTGAAATGCCAGATTGTCTTTACAATGGCCACAGTATGAATACTGATGGATTTTTGCAACCAAAAACTAATTGTGACTTTGCCAAAAGATGGCTTAATACCGCAAATGAAACATCTCTAAAAACAGGGACTTGTATTTCTGCAATTTCCTATTCTCTCGGCTATTCACCGTTCAGTAAACACTTCTCATTAGAAACAAAATACTACCTGGTCACAATTTTACTCTCACAGAGTTGTGCTATATCTCAATACATTCTTGGGAAATAAAGAAAAGTGAATAAAAAGCTGAATAGAAATAGACACTATAAAAACTACCTGTGAAGTATCGTAAGTCTGGAAAATATTTGTGGCATTACAGACAGGCTACTGCTGATGCAAAGAAAAATCCTGCAGTTTAACCATTTCATGAGTATGAACAATGCACTTGTTCCCAGGCATTCAGAATGATCTGACATTCCAAATGTTCATAAAAATTGGGTAATAAAAGAATTAAGTCAATACCCTTAAGTACAATAAATAACGGTGTTTATTATGGTCGGGGTTGCCCACGAGCATTTGTTCCGTATCTGCTTGGGACATTTGTAAAACCAGTTCTGAATCCTTGAGTTGCTCCCGTTCCCGGTACTCCCGATCCTTGACTGAGCACACTGCTGTAGGGTACGGATCCGTGATTAAATCCCAATCCGTAGGGCCTCGTCTGAGTGTTCAAAAGGATGACTGGATTCACGTTTTTGCCTGGTGTATTGAAAGAAAATTCTGGCGGTGGGCTGCTGGGCTTAGCTGGAGTGGATGTAACAGGGTTCAAACTATCAGCAGCTTTCAAAGATGGCATTGGAATAATATGATGATCCGAAAGGTTCAGAATGTTGTTTGCAATAGGCACAGATGATAAGGTAGGTCTGATCCAGTCATCTTTGAAAATCTGAACAGTCAAGGTAGAGACCAATGTGTACAATCTGTTAGTGACATGGGCAAGTACCATCTGTTCATTTGCATCCCTCCGAATTCGGACGTGTACTGATCCAGCCTAGAAAGTGATAAAAATAAGTTGGCCGTTAACTGTTACTTGAATAACGATTCTCCACATGCATTCAAGAAGAGGCAAGTTATCCTGCAGAGAATTATGCAAAGACTGTTTGCTGTGGAGTCTACTGACTAAATTGAGAAACTTCTTGAATAATTCCATAATTAGGATACATTTTGATCTTTCCTAATGCGCTGATCTCTTCATCATTCAGGAAAAGTGAGTTTTAAAACCAAACTGTAAAATGCAACATGTGATGGCAGGAAGGGAAAGGCAAAAGCCAGGTAAAAAAGTGGCCCAAAAGAAGAACAAAGTGCAGACCAGCTCCACATGCCAAATTGAGGAAAAAGCGTCATCCCTGTGCTGTTGGGGCAGGCCAGAGGACAACACGCATGGCAGGCAGGCTCAGACTGGGGCCGTTAGCAAGAAGGGAGACAACGCTCTTGTGGAACTGGGAGCTTCTCCTGGACACACACATAACCGCGGGCTGCCCCTGCCTTCCTCTCAGTTAACACGGTCTCGTTTACCTTCAACTACTGCTGCAGGAGAGAACAGGACACAAACCAGAACCCCTCACACACTTTTTCAGTTAGTATTTAATGAAGAGCACGGTTCACAGCTTGTGCTATATAAGCCATTTTTACATCAGATAGTGCAGCTGAAAACATATCCAGGTCTCAGGAAGTTTCTACTACAGTCTAGAAGGTGCCAGTGGGTAAACACGATACAAAGGTTTTGTAAGTATCTGTGATCAATCTAGCAATGCTGGGGTCCACTATTTTGTGTGGCAGAATACTGAACTGACAGCTATTTTCACATAAGCAAGTAAGAGCTGCTGCCTTTTTCTTTTTTTTAGAATGGTAGTGTACTGGAAGAATTCCGAAGTAGAGAAAAATGGTAAGAGTCTTAATTTTCTGGCTGTCCCAACATACCTGCATCAACTTAGGACTGAGTTCTGTGTGATCATTCTGAATCACAAAACCCCTTAATCTCTTTTGGCTTACAGAATATCAGGACACAACTGTAGCTGTATTTTAACGCTGCCTCCCCCAGAAATGCTGCAAATGTACAATGCTACTGTAGATCTTTTGTACCTGAAGGCTTACAGTTTTCTTTTGCTGCCCTCTGAGCCAATTTACACTAATAGACAATTTAAAAAAAGGTCTTTACTGTTGTTTGGGGTTTTCTTCACTGCCAAAATACAAAAGAAATTCTATAGTTGCAGAATGCATGCTTTAATCCAGAGCTGCAATGTACATAAATAATATTAACCAATAACAAAGCTTTAAAAAAATATAAAGGATGGGGGAAGAGAAGTTTTGCAATAAATAACAAGGACTGAGTTCTGACTCCATAATTTTTTTTATATTTAAGATTCCAGAAGAAATATCTTTATTTAAATAAAAAAAATAAAGTAGTAACCGACAACTCTTTTTTAAAAGCTAAAAAGACAACAGAGACATAACTTACCAAAGTGCCAAAACCTAATGTCCAGAAATGCTCATTTCGAACTTCCAAGACACCATCCAAAGTCGAAACCTAATTTTACACAAACATCCAGAAATAAAAAAGTAAATTAGAAAAAATGCTTCAAATCCTTTTAGAAATGTACTTTTACATGTACCTGAATAATGCAGCATTTTCAGTAGTGAAATAAAAGCTTTGATACACAGAAGGGGCAATGTCTGTTAATGATACCACTAATGCTTATCTACTGTACTTTTGCTGCCCTTAGCCACCCAAATCCATCCAAAATGTGGATTTACATTTCAAGTAACTCTTGCTGTCAAATTGCAGTATTTTCTCAACTTGACATGCTGTAAGTCAACAGCTGCTCGTACCCCTTTTCCTCCCCCCACTCACATTTGTAAACCACTTCAACAGTACCTCCAGATTAGATCACAAAAACCACAGCCTGCACTACTGTAACAGATTTGTTCTGGATACCTGACTGACACTATTCATCTTAGATAGTAAGATGCACATTTTCTACATGCAGCTAAAAAATAATATGAAAAAATAATTCTTTAGCTATCTTCTTGGACTACTCACAAAACCTCTTCATATTCCTGAATGCTTATTTAATGTTAGCTGCGCACACTGTGTTACGTACTATATGCTGACTTACCTCTCTAAGAAGTTTATCTAACTGGCCAATCACATGAGGTGGGGTTGTCTAAGAAAAGAAGGGGGAAGAAAAGAAGAAAAAAGTTATAATAAAGATTAACCGGCCCTGTTTAAGAGAGTCTTTAAGTCTGGTCTACCTACACAAGAGACCAATGGCATTAAGCAATAAATTTGTACAACTTCATGATGCGTATCTCTACTGCCTTTAAAATTCTTCTAGCACATCACAAATTCCCCTGGGAACACATCCTATTCAAAGGCTTAAAACAGCCTTTATGTTTAAAAAAAATAAGGACATGTAACAGAACTGAAACCACCAAACCCCTCGCTTTGTGACACTGCCTTACCTGGAGCAGTACTTTTCCACTGTAGACACTCATGGGATACATGGTACCAAATGTCATCAAAGCAATTGCTATAGCAGAGGCTGTGTCTACAGCGAAATAATTGCTAGAGAGAAAGAGCAATTTAAAAGAAAAACAGGTATTTACGTTTTTGAAAGGCAGAAGAATTTTCTTTTGATTCTTTTTCATTCTTTTAAATTATATACCCTTACAGAATATCACACATGCTAATCTCATCTGAACTATACGACTCTGAAAAAAAGACAAATACATTCATGGAGTTGCAATCCCATTCACACAAAATACGGCTTTTGATGAGATCATTCCCTTCATACAAAAAAAAATGCAATTTCCCATAGTAACTCTTTTTGTATCCAGTCTTTTTTTAAACAACAACGGTACCTACTTGATTTCAATGAGCATATATGTAATGCAAAGAGCTAGAGCTCCAGCAATATCAATCAAGACAAAAGGGTTCATTCTTGGCAGAAAGATGCTACTCAATCCTGGGATGATTCCACAAATACTGTAACAAAACAGAAAAAGCAGCTGTCAGCTAGCTGTCTGTCATTACTTCAAAACCCAGAAGAGTTACACCCACTATTTCAGCCTTTGACTTCAAACGCACCTTGCAGTCACAGCAAATGATGTCTCTGAGGACTGCAAAGGCCCTTCTAATCCTGCCCAAAGTTTTGTAATAGTCTGATGCCAGCAAAAATTAATGAAGTTTAGATCCACATCACATTCTTTCTCATATCTGAAACTAATACTTACCTCTTGCATCTTAAATCTGCTTTAAGTCTATCTTCCCATCTACAAAATGTTAAACTACACTAATCTTTATACCATGTTTCTACATGCTAAACACGTATCTTGTGCTACTTCCTAATTTCTGATAACATAGCTATCTGTGTCAGCTGCACACAACACGAGTACTTTACAGGTTCAGATCTTGCTATTACATCTATGTAAGTCTTGGAGGGTTTGCGTATTGCTCGTCTTCAATCCATCTGCCACCTTGGTGTGCAAAAGCATTCTAAAGCCAAAGCTAACTAATTCATGGAGCCTGAGAAGACAGAGGAGACCAACTAGCTGAGGAGACTAAACAAACCATGAGAACATTGGGAGAAGTTATTTATTTATAGTTATCTCATACCAGTGGGAGTATGGAGAGAGAAAAGGGTTTCCATACTTCCCAGTGAATGTAAGTGCACATCACGTACTGGAAAATCTAAAAGAAAAGGCAACATGTTGTTGCTCTGTTGGGAACCAACCTATGTTTAGACATAAATTAGAATTTTAATCAATATAATTATACAAAGGTGCAGATGTTTTGAAGCACTGCTTCATGGAACACATTTGAAATAGCTGTATATGTACTAACCAAATTTAGTAATTTTTAAAAAATTGTTGGCATAATTGTCCACAGGTTATCACGAAAGCCAGTAATTCTAGACTCTTGATCTGGGAGCCCTTGAAGTCATCCATCTGTGTCCTTCCCCGTAACACTCTGTTACCACATCATTAAAGAAAAACTCAGCCAGTGTCTGTGATTGCTACCCGAGATTTTCTTTTTAAACTGAAACTGGTTTTTTTGGGTTTTTTTTGAACTGAAACTATTTGGGCAGCCCTACTGTCAGTCTTCCAAAGGTGTTTTGCAGAATTTGGATCTGATGATATAATACCTTATACCTATATAAAATCAACTCTTCTGTTTAACAAACCAGCGGCCTCCGCTTTCCTCAACTGCATGCAAAAATCACGCAGAAACAGATGGCCTTTGCAGCACACTTCACGTGTTACACAATATGCTTTAACATTCTTATGTTGATACTGGCAACACAGGTACTTGGAAGAACACTATGGCTCAAAATAAATGTTTCTAACATCTGACAAGATTGTTTGCAAACAGTGCTATCTCGCATTCAGATATCCAATACAAGCGACAGAGTTAACAGACGGCATCAATGAGCAACACTGCTTCAGCCTCTGGAAGACACAGACTTTCCAGTTTCCTGCTAGACAGGTGAGGAGTTTCCATAGCTACGCCTCAGTGAGTAACCCATCTCATACATCACATTTAAATTGCAACCATCCATTTGCCCACCCCACGTAGTAAATAAACACAATTTACTACAAAATATATCACTGAGGTAATGACTGTTGAGAAATGCAGTTCAGGTCTGTACAGGACAAAGCTAGTTTACCTCCCCTCATCCAAGGAGAATTACATACAATGTACCAAACACATTCAAAAGGAACATCATGCAGAAAGATGTATTTCTACTAGACTGATGTATCTGGGAAATACGAGAGACGATGTTTGCTCTAGAGGTCATACACTAGATCTACAGTAGGTAAAGCTATTGTAAAAGCTCTAACACACAGCAGTTTATGCCTCAATATCTGTCCAAATCGTTATTATACACAAAAAACGCAAGACTGCCTTCCAGAAGCTAACAGTTTTGAAAAACATTATAAAGCTTTACCTCCTACTAAGATCTGCAACATGCTCCTGAAGCCAACTTGTGCTGGCAGCTGCAAAAGAAAGAAGGAAATAAAATTACTACGAGTAAAGGAATCCATTTTAAAGTACACTTAAAATTCAAAGGGAAGAACCCAATACACTGTGAATGAATAAATGCATCTCAACACATTGACTGTCACTTGAAAAAAAAAAAAGTCTGACTTTTCCAGGCAGTAAGTAAAATGCCTGTGTCTCATAATAATCTGAACTGATTAAATACATTTGCAGATTATAACCATTATAATTGCCTTCTATATAATATATAACTATCAACAATTTAAGCGAAACTATATTCACTAAAATGAAGCATTATTTACGGCAAATCACATGGAAAACCACGAGAAAAAGATGGCTCCTCACAATTTACTAGTTTCACAATGCTCAACAGTTTGCCAACAGTTAGC